AAAAAAACATATAACAAGAGACTTCTAATTAGAGCCACTAACTTTTGGTTCCATTTTACCCCATCTTATAGTGAATAAAAAAGGAACATGATCTGCAATAGCTTCTTTTTTTTTGACACATTGAAAAAAAAATTCACAAGTTGTAAAGAGAATGCAAGGCATTCTAATTTTCACTGTGCTACGATTTGCTCTTATTGGGGGTCTTTTTTTCCTTTTCTTTTGTCTGAAGACTTCATTTTCACTTTGCAACTACCTGTCATTACTTCTTATAGAATATTTTGACAGCAAAATTGACCAAATCTTCCCAAAAATCAAATGCCACAAACAAATTTTAAAAATATGAACCTTCACCATAGCAAGTATGAAACAGAATAGAAACAAGCCAACACTTCAAGAAACAAGTTAAATAGGGCAGAAATTAAAAGAGAAAATTGTAGATATAATAGTATAAGGATGTTCCTTACATTTTTCAGATGGTCGGACATTGAAAAATTAATCATTATATGGACAGTGAAACTATTAAAAGAGAGTACTTTCTTCTAATCTTTCCAAAATTTCCAATCATAAAAACATTTAATACCCAAAAGACAGAAGCAATTCTGTAGAAACTGGAAATTCAAACAGATAGGCATATTATCCCAAACATTCAAAAGAACAATTAAAATCAAAGGTTAACAAGTAAGCTCAAGTGTCTCCAACCTTTGACAAATTTGATAAGCCATAAAATGCAAACTGAATTTGAAACCTTAGTTCAGCCTAGAAAGATTCACCTTACCTCTTTGAGACAAAAACAAAGCTATCTATGCACTATTGGGACATTCACCATTCAGAGCCAAGTCTCTAGTAGCTTCATTGGCTTCTTCGTAGATATGGTAAACTACACAAGCTATACGTTTCAGCATGAAGAAAATTTCCCCCAACCAGCGCATGGCTGTGTCATTTGGCTCAGGTAGACCATTAACATAGTGGACAAGTATAATATTGTCAGACTCCACAATCAACTTCTGCGCATTTGGCCTTCCTTCCATGCATCCTGCCAACCCAATCCTCAAGGCCTCTAGTCCAGCAATCACATTGTCTTCAACATCAATGTCACCCCTATACATATCAAAACACTTCCCTTTTTCATCTTGGAAGATGCCACTATATCGTCCTGGCTGATCACCCTTTCTACCAATACCATAGATGTTTAGCTTAATCCAACCTGGAGGAGGAGGTATGTTGTTGCATCTTAAATGCCGAGCCCCACGATTATTACCCCAAATTTCTGCAAAATCCCCACTATTCATATCGCTTTTCATATTTTCCAAAAATTCTTCTTCAAGATGCCTGCAACACAAAAGTTGAAAGTTACATCATTAGGGCTATATGAAGTACACCATACCCTCCTATGGTTCCTTCAACTCACCTCTATCACACTATAGTTTCCTCCAAGCAAATAATTTCAAAGTACTTCGCATAATTCAACCAACAAAATCTGGATTCTCCAACTATCACTTAAATCAATCACATGTGTAAAGCCCATCTTATCATGAGGAGAAAGAAATGGAACAATCATAGGCGGACAGAAAGTAAAGTTGATTTCAATTGTGTGCTAATTGGCAGCACCTTTGTTTCCCAAATCAACATAATAACTAGAGAATTATATTTATACTAAATGAGAAGTTTTGTATCTAGTTTCACATCTAAGTACCTTTGCATGTCCAACCAATAGCATCCCGGTTTGTCAATGTCATTGTTAGGATCCACGTCAAAGAAATGCCAGGCAAATCCTGAGAACAAATTAGCATACGTCTGATTGTCACTAGTTTCTATGTTAACCTCTGTTGTGAAGTCAAGACTTCTCTCTAAGCGTACCACTGTTTCTAGAACAGTCCTACATCGCGGCGTATTGGTCAGTGTGTAGCTAAATGAGTTTGTCAGCACAAAAATCTTGTTAAGACAAGATGAAGACCAGTTTGCTCCCAAGAGGTTGCCAATAAGATACCAACAAGGATTAGGCATGTAGAACATTGTTGGTCTCTGAGCTCTCCTCTTACAATTTTCATCATTGGTGAGAACCTCAAGACCTAGTTTCTCGAAAAATATGATATCAGCCGTAGACATGCGGGGATCATATATTTCTATATTGCCAATCCAATTGGGAAAATCTCGTTTTAGTAGGAGAACTACAGCAAGCTGAAACTGTGAACTAAAACTGTATTCGGTGCTTCCCAAACCATAGATTACCACCTGAACATGTGAATGGTAGCCTAAAAGGCGAAAGAAGTGTTTTTGAATTGTTTTATTCTGTTTGAGATCCAAGCACATTCCAGCATAGAGCTCAGAGTTCTCAACATTCTTCTTCACCAGTTCAATCTCTTTAAGCATCCTTTTTGCCTCATCTTTTATGTGAAAATAAACATTTGACTCCATATCCTCACCAAAATCCATCTTTATCAGGTTCAAATTAATGTTGGCCTTTAGCAGTTTTAACACTATTTTGAAACAGCTAAAACACAGCAACACTCTCTTGTGTTCTGGATTTAACACAAACCTGCAAGTCTAGAATTTAAAGTACAAATCATTAGCAGGCTGAAGTACTTCACAGCAAAAAAGATGCATTTCTCATTATGTGCAAGTGTAGAACACGGAAGTACAGAACGGCTAGCAAGCGGAAAGTAGCTTATCTCCTATCAAAACATATTTCTCCAAATCTTTAGAGTATACTTGCTGCGCATCAGATGCCACGTGTTTGAAGCCACAAAGATATTTCAAGAAACAACTCGGTTGACATCTATAAGTTGGTCAATTGTGATTAAAAAAATGCAACTAGAGGTAAGAGGAATATGAACATACCCTCCTCCTTTAATCCATTCAGAACCGATCACCTAGAATTGCATCACTCGAGTACAAATACAAGCTCTTCTAAACTAAATTCTTCCATCTAGGTGTGTTTCAGTCACCTACTTCGACTAGTACAAATTCACTAAGAACAATGCACTACTGAAAATTGAGATCCTGAAAGTGCCAAATCACAGATCTAATAAAAAAAAAAGTGAATCGTATTTTTTTCTCTCTCCAGATTTCCCTCCTTCCTGTAAAACTGAGTGTGTATCTATTTCATCTGGATAACAAGCAGTTCAACAAGAGCAAATTAAAACATTTTTTCTTCTGAACTTAAAATTATAGGACGATAAAATAATAAGGAAATGCTAAATCCTTCAGTCGAATTCAAATAAATAGTATTACAAATGCAATTTAACGGAATCCATAAAATAATAAATATATGAAACGTCTTATTTTTCTCCAGATTTTCCTCTCTCATGTAAAGTACAACAGAGTCTGTACATATTTCATCTGGATAACAAGCAGTTCAACAAAGGAACTATTGAACACAGAAGAATTAATTACGATGTAAACACATAAGGAAATACTCGATCCTTCAGTGGAATTCAAACACTCACTATCACGAACGAAATTTAACGAAATCCTCACAGAACACCTACTACAATATAAAATGAAACCGACTCTGTATTTCTTGTGGATAAGTGATAACAAGCAGTTCAACTTGAGCAAAACAATTGCTCTTCTGGAACAGAAACACAGAAATTATAGGACGACGGAAATGCTAAATCCTTCAATCGAATTCAAACAATCAGTATTACGAACAGAACACATACAACAATTTAATTAGGATAAAGTAAACAAGAAAAATGAGAGTAAAAAGAGAAGATACTGACAGCAACAAAGTCGGTGAAAATCTGGAAATGGTAGATCCTTAAATCGAGTTGAAACAATTACAATTACTAACAGAAAACACATTCGAAGATACTGAGAGCAACAAAGTCGGTGAAAATGGTAGATCCTTCAATCGAGTTGAAACAATTACTATTACTAACAGAAAACACATTCGAAGATACTGAAAGAACAAAGTCGATGAAACGTACTGTTGCCTCAGTAAACGATCGTCATTGAAGAGCTGCCTTGACGATATGAATCCATGCTTTGAGAAGGTCGATTTCAACTTCAACAATGGAAAACAGATATTTTCTATGCGATGCAATGATTTTGTTGTGTGAGAGAATACAGTTAAAGAGTAATGCAGTGCTCCAAATAAGTTTGTTGCGCGCCTTTGCCTATTTGTGGAGTAGCCTGTCACGTGGCAAGAATTAGGCCTACGTGGCGGAAAAAGAATAACTGACGCAAATGCATAAGTTTTGACAAATTAAAAAAAAAACGTTTCACACACTAACTAACATGGGGATATTTCAGATTTGAAGAGTTAATTTTTTAAATTTGAAATATGAAATCTTTCAATATTGTGAACTATAATTATATATTTAAAAATTATGTAAAAGTAATATCAGTTAATAATTAATACTATTTTAAAAGACATATTAAATGATCTTGATTAAAGAAAATCAACTTGTTTGATGTGTCACATGACTTAATAATAAAATGAGTGTTCGTGATAATTTCACATATGACTATATTAGGATATTATGTAGCCATTATGTAATAAGAAGGTTAGTATTGAAAAAAAAGTAATAAATTTATCTTGATTTACTAGTTAAAAAAGAAAAAAAAAATTAAAGTAAGAGACAAAGTAAAATGAAACGGAGGGTGCATTGCAGGTATCTTCAAGAGATGGAGCATTTGGGATGTAACTGATCTGTAGCTGAACCATTTCAAATTCTAATTACAACTACTACTTTTTGCGACTTTTGAAAGAGCATGGGAACCCAATAGAATACACAATTCTATATAGGCTCCCCTGCCTGAAATCTTTTAACCCAAAAATACATTCAGAAATGTAGTTGCATTGTTTATTTGGAAAAAAAAATGTGGATATAAATGATAATACTATAAGGATGTTCCTTACATTTTTCAGATAGTTGAACAATGAAAAGTTAATCATTGTATGGACAGTGAAACTATTAAAAGAGTTTCTGTAATTTTCAAACATGTAAATTGTAATCCATAAAAGAGAAGCAATTCTGATTCTAACACCCAAAACACAGAAGCAATTCTGTAGAAACTAAAGTCAAAACAGATAGGCTAACAAGTAAACTCAAGTATCTCCTAAACATTCAAAAGCACAATTAAACAAAGTCTAGCAAGTAAATTCAAGTGTCTCCACAACCTTTGACAAACTTGATCAGCAACGTCATTTTCCCCTAAATGCAAATTGAATTTGAAACCTTAGTTCAACTTAGAAAGATTCACCTTACCCCTTTGAGTCAAAAACAAAGCTTTATGCATTACTGGGGCATTCATCACTCAGAGCCAACTCCCTAGCAGCTTCATTGGCTTCTTCGTAGATATAGTGAACTGTTGCACAAGTTAGACGTTCCAGCAAGACGAAAATTTCCTTCAATTTGTCCATAGCCTTTTCATTTGGCTCAGGGCGACCATTAACATATTGGACAAGTGTAAGATCATCTGACTCCACAATCAACTTCTCTGCATTTGGCTTTCCTTCCACGCATCTGGCCAACCCAAGCCTCAAGGCCTCTAGTCCAGCAATCACATTGTCTTCAACATCAAAGTCACCCTTATACCTAACTAAACACGTTCCTTTTTCATCTTGGAAGATGCCACTATATTGTCCTGGCTGATCACCTTTTCTACCAATACCATAGATGTTTAGCTTAATCCAGCCTGGAGGAGGACGAACGTTGTTGCATCTTAAACGACGAAACCCACGAGAAATACCCCAAATTTCTGCAAATTCCTCACTGGTCATGTTGCTTTTCATATCTTCCAAAAATTCTTCTTCAAGATTCCTGCGACACAAAGTTAAAAGTTACATCATTAGGGATATATGAAGTACACCATACCCTCCTATGGTTCCTTCAACTCACCTCTATCACACTATAGTTTCCTCAAAGCAAATAATTTCAAAGTACTTAGCATAATCCAACCAACAAAATCTAGAATTTCCAACTAGCATTTAAATAATCACATGTGTAAAGCACATCTTATCACAAGGAGAAGGAACTGGAACAAACATAGGCAGACAGAACTTAAAGGGCTACTGACTTCATATGTGCTACTTGGCAGCATCTTTGTTTCCCAAAATCAATAGAACAACAATAGAGAACTGTATTCAATAATAAATGGGAAGTTCAATATCTAGTCTCACATCTAAGTACCTTTGAATATCCAGCCAATACCATCCCGGTTTGCCAATGTCAATGTTGGTATCCACATCAAAGAAATGCCAGGCAAATCCTGAGAACAAATTAGCATACATTGGACTGTCACTAAGTTTTATGTCAATTTCTGTTGTGAAGGGAAGAATTCTCTCTAAGCGTATCACTGCTTCTAGATCAGGACCACTTCGTGGCGTATTGGTCAGTCTATCGCAGAACGATTTTGTCAGCAAACAAATCCGGTTTAGACAAGATGAAGACCAGTTTGCTCCCAAGAGGTTGCCAATATGATAACAATAAGGATCAGGCATGTAGAACATTGTTGGTCTCTGAGCTCTCCTCTTACAATTTTCATCAATGGTGAGAACCTCAAGATCTAGTTTTTTGAAAACTATGATATCAGCTAGAGACATGTTGGGATCGTATATTACTATACTGTCAATCCAATCAGAAAAATCCCGTTTTAGTAGGAGAACTACAGCAAGCTGAAACTGTGAATGGAAACTGTATTCAATGCTTCCCAAACCATAGATTACCACCTGAACATGTGAATGGGAGCCTAAAAGGCGAAAGAAATGTTTTTGCATTGTTTCATTCTGTTTGAGATCCAAGTGCATTCCAGCATAGAACTCAGAGTTCTCAACATTCTTCATCACCAAATCAATCTCTTTAAGCAGCCTTTCTGCCTCATCTTGTATTTGAAAATCAACATTTGACTCCATATTCTCACCAAAATTCATCTTTATCAGGTTCAAATCAATTTTGGCCTCTAGCACTTTAAACACTATTTGAAACAGCTAAAATGCAGCAACACTCTCTTGTGTTCTGGACTTGGTACAAACCTGCAAGTCAAGAATTTAAAGTACAAAATTCTTAGCAGGCTGAAGTACTTTACAGCGAAAAAAATGCATTTCTCATTATCTGCAACTGTAGAACTCAAAAGTACAGAACTGCTAGCAGGCTGAAAGTATCTAGTCTCCTAGAAAACATATTTCTCCAAATCTTTAGAGTATTAATTGTTGCACATCAAATGTGGTGTTCTTTGAAGCCAAAGATGTATTTCAAGAAACAACTTAGTTGACATTGCTTCTCTATTATAAGTTGGTTCAATTGATATAAAAGAGTTCAGTGAAAGCTAAGCGGTATATGAGCATTCCCTCTCTCTTTAATTCATTCAGAACCAATTTATTCTTCCATCTAGGTGTGTTTCAGTCACCTACTTTGACTGCCAGAAAAAATTATTCTGAATTATGCAGTAATGAAATTGATACTCTGAAGTTTCAAATCACAATCTAATCCAAAGAGAAGAACATGAATTTAATTTTTCTAGAATTTCCTTTTTCTGTCTAAACTAATAACAAGCAGTTGAACTACAGCAAAACAGTTGCTCTTCTGGACTTAAAATGAAGTGGCAACAAAGGAACTTCTAAACACAGAAAATTTTAGGGCGATGAAAACATATAACAAAACGCTAGATCCTTCAACCGGGTTGAAACAATCACTATTTGGAACTCAATTTAACAGAATCCTCACAAAACACATACAACAATTTAGTTTTACAAACTGATGGGAAAAAATAAATAAGAACTATTCGAGTATGACCGAGTCTGTATTTCATCTGGATAACAAGAAGTTGAACTACAGATAAACAGTTGCTCTTCTGGACTTAAAATGAAGTTGCAACAAGGAACTCTTAACCACAGACAATTACATGATAATGGAAAAAAATAAGGAAATGCTAGATCCTTCAGTTGAATTCAAACAATCACTATTTCAAATGCAATCCACACAGAATACACACCACAAATCAGTTTTACAACCTGGTAGGAAAAAATAAATATGAAAAACAAGAGTAAACAGTCGGTGAAAATCTAAAACTGTAGCCTCAGTTAATGGAGCCTGGCGTCGCCATTATTGAAAAGCTACCTCTAAGCAATGACTTCCCCGGACTGTGTACATTTTTTACAATTTACTCTTTCCGTGAAAATTATAACAGTCTGTATATATTTCATCTGGACAACCAGCAGTTGCAAATTAAAACAGTTGCTCTTCTAGATTTAAAATGAAATAGCAACAATTGAACACAGAAAAATTAAAGGATGATGAACACACATAAGGAAATGCTAGATCCTTCAGCAATCAGTGGAATTCAAACAATCACTATCACGAACGAAATTCTCACAGAACACACACTGTAGTTTAGTTTTACAAACTGATAAGCAAAAATAAATAAGAAAAAAATGAAAACAGAGTCTGTATAAAGCACAGTTCATCAACTACAGCAACAAAGGAACATTTGAACACAGAAATTAGAGGACGACGGAAATGGTAGATCCTTCATCAATCGAGTTCAAACAATCAGAATTACGAACGAAATTAATCCTCAGAAAACACAAAACTACTACATTTTGAAATTACGAAAAAGAGGAGATACAAACAGCAACAAAGCCGGTGAAAATCTTGCCTCAGTAAACGGTGCCTAGCGTCAACATCGCCATTGAAGAGAAGGCTTCAAACTTCAACGAAATCAATGGAAAAAGTGTTGAAACGATTTTGGTTTATGGCATTTTACTTGTGTCAGAGAGTACAGTTAGAAAAATGCAGTGCTCCAAATACGTTTCTTGCGCGCCTTTGCCTATTTATGGAGTAGACTGCCACGTGGCAAGAATTTAGCTTACGTACAAGTCGTTCAAAAAAATTATATTTACCAGATAAAATTTATTTTAAATTAATTTTATTTTATTTTGTATGTACAAATGGGCCTTTAATTTTGGTGGTGAAAGGAAAGAGAGTTCATAACCATCTTGTTTAGAGAGTTATTAGGTAACAAACTTTTTAGAAATAATCTCCCCTTCATAAAATTCTAACTTTCGCTCGTAAAGAAAATATTCAAGATATTTTTAAGATTGAAAACTTGTTAAATTGACTAAAAGTTATGTCTTATAAGCAAAAAGTTAAAACTTAGGTACGTAGGCTGTCCATCAGACACAAGTTCTAACTTTTGCGCATACGAAAGACGTTTCAGAATATTTCAAGATAGTGAACTTGCTCAATTGAACAAAAGTTCTACTGTAGAGACAAAATCAAGCAAACACAAAAATTCAAGATCAAACACTTTAGGGATAGTAGGTGTAATTTCCTCATTTGATATTGAGAAAAATACAACTTAATATCTTTGAATCGTCTAGTTTACAAAATATATCCATAGAGATAGTGTACACTTTATACTAATATACATATCTATGCAAAAAGGGTTGGATTTTAAAAAAAAAAAAAAGATGGTAAAAACTAGGGCTTTTTTTCCTACTATAAATTTAGGCTTATTAATGTTTTTTGAAATCATTGCATGTTTCTACATTTTATAAATATTCCAGCTTTTGTTTCTTTTAGTGTTAATTTTGTTCTGAAGGGGTTTTTATATATGGAATATTGTCGTTCAGAGAGGAGAATAGCCAAAGAAGTATTAAAATGTGGGCAAAAAAGAGTATAAAAATGTGAATAATTTAGGGGTAATTTTTATGTATTAAACCTCACAATATTTATTAAAGGGAAAAAGGACAAATATACCCCCACACTATCGTAAATGGTATGTAGATACCCTCCATCATACTTTTGGGCCATTGGTGCCCCTGCCGTCCAAAAACTAGAGCACATATAACCTTCACTTTAACAGAAGACTAAACAGGGGCACGTGCAATCTTATCCGTCGATCCAATATTTAATAAATGTCGGATTTGTGGATAAGATTATGACACGTGCTGTCCGTTAGTATAAAGGATATATATGCTCTAGTTTTTAGACGGCAGGGGCACCAATGTCCCAAAAGTATGACGGAGGGTATCTGCATACCATTTACAATAGTTCAGGGGTATATTTATCTATTTTCCCTTTATTAAATTATTGAAAGTATCTATCAAGTATTTATTGAAACAAATTAGTGATATTAACTTAATTTTGTGTGTTCAACATGTAACAAAAATATAGTATTCTAAAAGCATTTATATATAATTTAGATAAATATTATGGAAAATGAGGGTGGAGGGATAGAAGTTATCTGAAATGCTGACGAAGATGAGGTGCATTAGAGTGAAGGAATAAGCAATTAATACGGAATCTCGAAATTTATTTTTCCTACTTAAACAAAAAATACTTCTTTGTACCGAACACACCCTTAACTTCTATCCATCTCCAAGTTAATCCCAAAATAACAAAAGCTAAACAACTTCAATCTATCATAGCGTTTTAAGAATAATTCAAAGTTAGGAACCGAGAAGAAGGTATCAATTTTATTACGGGAAAGCTCATGATGTTCATATCGATCTATTATGCGCCTGGAGAAAAATCAAATTTGTTTAGAATTTGAGTATTTATTTAAGTTATGTCTAAACAAACAAACAAAATAGCCTAAATATTCTAACCCTAGCTAAATTAGGTTTTGCAGCTATCATAAATAAAATTACTGTATTTTCTATTACGAGAAATTATAGATAGTTATTTGACTTTTTAAATAGAATATTTTCCTTCCCATAATTATGATTAGGATAGGATTAGATAATCCTTAATCCCATAAATATTGGATCTAGAGAGTCCTCAATTACATAAACTCTTACTCTTACTTAATTACTCAATTCATTCATTATATTTTTCTCAATTCCAACTTCTTCTTCTTCTTTCAGAATATTTTTCTATGATTTTTTTAGTTCATAAAATTTATTTATTTATTGAAAATGAAAACGATAAAGAGGAACATGAAGTTTTCCATAATGCATCAATGTTTCTCTTGAGAATAATAATGGCACTTGTTAGTGGAATATTCTCATATTTCTTTATCAATTTCTTGATTATAATTTTTGTTATTTTGTATTCTGGGAAATTTATTGGATTCTTGGATATTATTAATATTATTTTGGGTATAGTATTGGCCATTATTTTTATATCCTTAACTTTTTTGTTTTTATTATTAAGTTTTATTGAATTGAAAAATATGCTTGGAACACTTAGGTTTAGGGGGACAAAAGATCAAGACGTTCGTTGTACAACATTATTTTGAACAACTTGCTGAAGAAATTGGGAGCATCGCCTCGAATGGATTGTGCAAGTGCATAATTATGATTTAGTTGCGGTTTCAATGTGGGAAACAAAAAAAACTTGCTGAAGAATCAGTGGCAAAGCATATGATATTTTTTTTTGGATCAGAATTATGTGTTTGTTTAACTTATTTTTTGTAAATTTTGTTAAAATTTTAGTGGTGTACAATATTTTTGCAAATTTTGTTAGTATTTTAGTGATGTTTAATAATTCCTTTGAATTTAAAGGTATTTAATTTGCTTTATCTCATCTTTAGATTTTCATGGATCATGTTTACTAGACTTTGTGGATACTAAGATTCTATTTTCTCTCATCGTATTAATTTATATCTCAATCTGCATAATTTACTGATTACATGATTGTTCGGACTTCGGAAATAACTTTATCTTCTATTCCTTCCAAAGATAAGAATAGGATTTTCACTCTTCATATATTTCACTTGTAAAATTTCATCGAGTATATTATTATTGATTAATAACGATATTTTCACCTCTCTTTTTTCAATAATCATTGATAAACTAATGTAATTTGGTGTAAATCTTCTCCTTTTTTTTCAATAATCATGGTAAACTAATGTAATTTGGTGTAAATTTTAAAACTCATTTTTCTTGAAAACTACACTGCCAAAGAAACTCGAAATATGACATAGAATTAGAAGTGATGGAGTACTCCCTTTTTGTCCACTTTATTTAATTGCTATTTTTAGTTTTCACTTTTATCTTTACTCAATAAATATGAAGATATATAA